ATAATCATTCCCCAAAATTCCTATTTTGTTGTAGCAAATAATTAACTTAAATTACCTTTGGAAATCCTAGAAGCAAACCTGTGTTTATCTGAAAGTTAGCTGCTTACAAAACCAGGTATTCTTCCTTAACCTAGATAGCTAATCAATTGGAGAGATTCAGGTTGTCGACCCCTCCCCCACAAAAAAACCCCAAGCTTTAAGCACTGACTTTTCAGATGAGAAATGCAACTCCTCAATACTTACTTTATTCTAGAGACTTTGTAAAATGATATTTACTAGTTTGGGGTATAGGACCAGAGTCTGACAGCGTGCTGTAGTATGTTAAAACCTATTAATCAAGCTCTTCAACGTGAAAGCCATAATACAAGACAGAAAGGCATACTAACACAAGCTGGAGGCAGGAAGGTGATATTTACCGAAAAGCTGATAGAGTATACACAAGATGGTCACCCTCTTCCTCACCTACACCTCAAACCCCCACCGAGAAGGCTTGGGATACAATACAAACTCTCGTTCCTCATTACCATTATTTTAAATCTAGAAAGTCAAAACAGTAAAATATTGAAGCATTTCCCCCCATTCTAGTAGACAATTAGTTTCCATCACTTCCAAGAACACAGAAATTACTAGGGGTGTACCGATAGAGATTTTTTGGGCATATACCAATGGTTGATTATTAACAAGCCATAAATCGGCCAATACCAATTGCCAATATGCAGCATGGCAGCTTGGAGAGCAGCATCCGGTTGGTAGGTCTGTTGCGGGGGGGGCATCCTGCGATGAAGGAGTGAGGCTGGAGCAGACACTTGTGCCCAGCTGGGACAAGGCATGGAGCTGCAAACAGCTCATTGGGGGGGGAGGGGGGGGGCAGATCCCCCCACCACACCCCCCCAGGGTAGCCATGTGGGGGGGGGACCCCCTGGCCCTGTGTGCAGGGCAAGGGCAGGCTGGGGCCCAGCACTGGGCTCTTCCTAGCTGTAGGAAAGACTGGACTAGGGCTCTGCTTGGGAAAGGGCAGCAGCCGCACTGGGGTAGGCTGTGCCCCCCCCTCCCAGCACTGCCCAGCCCAAACACAGCACCAGCCCAGCTCCCCTGCCAAGAGCCTGGCATCACTCTGAGCCCGCAGCAGCAGCCCACCCTTGCCCCACACACAGAACCGAGGGCACATGCCCTCCATGGCTCCCCCAGAGGTGCACGTAGCAGCTATTGTCCCTCCCACCCCCCAGACAAGCCACTCACAGCTCTGTCCTGCATCTGCCCTGCCTGGGCAGCACCTGCCCCAGCCCCACTCCCTCACGGCAGGGGCCTCGATCCCCACCCCTGCAACAGACTTAGCCAGACGCTGCTCTCCATTGTCCAAGCTGCTGGGCTGGCCGCACGCATGCTGCGGCTACACACATGCACACGGCATTTATCAATGACATTATCAGCCACATCAGCCAAAAAAAGCCAATTACTGATAATGTTAATTTTCCTTGTATTGGTGCCAATGTGACACGGACCGATGTATCGGTGCACTGCTAGAAAGTACATTTATTTTTTCTACTGAGCATGCAAGATCTTATTCTACATCTACTGGAATGATTCTTAACCAGGGTGCTGCAAGATCCCATGAAGGATGTCAAGAGTTGCAACAAGTTAAGATAAGTACAGGCTCAGGCTTATTCCTCACCCCCACTACCCAAGCCCTGTAATATATAAAAATTAGTTTTTTAAATTGGGCACCATTCAATTCACAAAGAAGGTGCCTTGAGTCCCATTAGGTTGAGAACCACTTGTCTACTGCTTTCTCTAAATCTTGTAAAGTTTCCCCAGGTCCTGGCAGGCATTTACACATAACCATTTCAAAGACCATCTTACCCACACAGACCACCTCTTTAGCTCCATACATCTTCCTTAAGATCTTTCTTCAAATTAGTCCACATATCACCAGACTTAAATTTCTTACAGCTTTCTTCCATTTGTCAACACCTTTAAATGACAAACCTAAGCCCATAAGTGATGAAACCTGAAGTACTGTACTGTTTCTAAACTAGGGAGATATCACTGTTCCTGCTTAATGACTTTGTATATACAGCTCCAGAACCAAACTGATTTAAAAAAACCTAACCCAGTACATTGGTAAATCTAAGTACATTTAACAGTTCTAAAAATTCTAATGGTAGATGGGCTACTTCAGTAAGAGTTATTAGAAGAGCGAATCTAGCTAATACAGCAAAGTTGTCACCCGATTACTCTGAAGTAATACCCTTATTTCACAATTATGTTTTTGACAATGAGAGTTATTTTTGTTTGAAAACACATGTACAATGAAGGAAGGTACATTGATTCCAGTAACTGATTCAATAAGACCAGCTGGCTTTTCCTTAAAAAGCATTGTTTTGGTTGGGTTGGGGGGAAGTGTACATAAAAATCTGAGTGATGGATGATGCATGTTTTTTGAAAATCTGTTGCTGGGACAGCTATTGGGCTAGCAAGTTGTATGTTAACTATTGCTTATAAATAGTCATAGTATTGCATACTGTGAGCAGGCATGAAGATCAAAATGTATAAATGGTCTTTGGGGTAAAAATTTGTTCTCTGCAGTTACTTGGCGATATTTGGTCCATCTACTTTGTCTCATGTTGAAACACCTTTGACCATAGCAAATTAAGATGTGTGCACTTTAGGGATAAATTACTACCTCAAGCTTAAAGCTGCTATGAATTAAATTATAAGAGTGGTGGTGTAATTTCAGTCACCTACAAGTCATATCAATAAAGTGTGCACTTACAAGCCCAGCATCTGTCACATGAACAGATAACATTATTTGAGTTTCCTAAACACTCCAGCCCCTAAAGAAGGTAGTGCTATACTTTCATTTTCACCTTTACAGAAAATAGCCAACAGTCAAATCTCTCCACCCAATGTATTTATGGCTAATATGTTTATATTAGTCAGATAAATGTCAGTAAAATATTTGTTGTTCAAATAAATGCACAATTTTAAGAGGGGAGGGAGGGGGAGAAAGTAGCTTCCTGACTTCCAGAAAAGTTTGAAAAATTCATAGTGAACATAAAGTACAAGAACAGTAAATCTTAGGCTTCTTTCTGAAATATCCAGGTTTCTCCCACAGGCTCCTGAATTCCCGGTTCAACTCCCAAGAGAAATTACTCAACCTTCTCATCTCTTTCAGAAAATCCCGATACGTTTACAATTTACCATGTACTGAGTTTTATGGCTCAGACTTTCAGACAGTGGTCCTGCCCGTTCAAAATGGACGTCAAGCCCTGTGCTATTTGGAAAAATACTCCCCATATCCTAGCACCCTTAGCCAAAGAAAGCTCTCCCTACACTGCATTGTAAAGCTGTTGTTGTTTGCCTGTACATCAACTTCTATCCAAGAATAAAATGGTTCTGTATAATTAACCACCTGCTCCGCTATGAAAATTAGGTAAAATAAAGTTATTAAAAGTATGATACTTTTCCTTTTTTTTTTTTTTTTTTTTTTTTTAAAGTGGTTAAAAGTACACTGTAAGACACATTCCAATTCTAATAGTATAAAAGCTTGGGTGTCTCTGGCTGTCCGTCCGTCTCACTTTATTCGCACTCTGATTGGCTGTTACCGTCAGCCAATCGGAGTACTCCAAGCATGGGGGAACACCGCCATGAGTCCAAAGCCATGCCAAGGACCGGAAAGAGGGTGGGGGAGCCGAGGCCAACAACGCTGGCCTTGGCTTCCCCAACCAGCTCCCTGCAAGTGACAGAACATCAGCAGCACAGGGCATTAGGTGGCAGCACTCCATCCTAGCTCCCCTCCTCGCCATTCTTGACAGGCAATTGGGTAGTACACGCATAAAGCCACATGTAATTATAGGGCTTTCAATCAGATAAAGGCCAGGGGGGGGGGGAAATAAAAGGATGTCTTGCAGAGCCAGTTAGGCCGTCTTAGTTGTAGCAATTTGGAGTGAAAATGGAAAAAAAAAAAAATCCCTGCTCAAATGATAACAAGTGCACTTGCCGTATGTTCTCCTAACACTAAAGGCAAGTGTTAGCAGTGAGTGTGGCTTGAAGAGTGGCTGACATAATTGAGCCCAACTCTCCAAACTTCATAACACTCCCATCTAAAGCAAGACACAAGGTGAATGACAGCTCAATTACAGATTTCAGCCATATTTTTAGTGATGTTTGTAAGTCAATAGATTTCAGTCTCAGTCAGCACACTGCAACAGAAGCACTGCTATAGATAGTGAGGATGAATAGTTTGATTATGCATGCTAGTTGCCAGACTGAATCAAAGAATATGATTGCAAATAAGCATAGCCAGATTCATCCATCTTGCTAGGGGTTGTGGGACAAAATTAAAGAATGAAAATTGACCCTTTTAAATATTCTGGCTGCCCAAAACTCACTGCCATTAGCACTTTGAGGTATCTAGTTAAAAATTAACTGACTTAAAGTTCCTGACTGCATACTGGCGACAATTATTAAGAGATGTTGCTAGAATTATTCTATTTTCCAGAGGACTGATTTCATGTTCTGAAAGTGGTTTTATGATTTTCTTCAGCAAGATCTATTACGTGCATTTTTATCAGAAACAGATGTTTAGTCTCAAACAGAAAGAAAGGAGTTATGATAACTTTGCTACCATAAGGGAATACAATATTTCATATATATAACTGGAAAAGCTGCAAGGAAAAAATACATACATAAAAGAAGGATGAGCTGATGCCAATTTATTGTCCCATGGGCAGGGATGCACATAGCAATATTTTAAATAAATAGATAACTGTTCCACCTATTATTGACATAATACCATACCGTGGAGTGATAACATCAATTAAACTAGCTCATAAGGCATTTTATTTCAGAAAAAAGTGTCAAAACTAAAAGAAGTAGGCAACACAACCATGAAATCTTGTGACAGGAGTGCAACTCCCGTAAAAAAAAAAAAAAAAGAGACAAAAATAAAAAGGCAGATTCAGAAAGGGATCACAACAGCTTATATTTCTACTACTTACTATGTAGTATAAGTGACAGATGTGCAAGATCTTTGCACTGGGCTCTTTAAGTGTTTTAGAATATTCTCCTTTTTTTGTATCTCCATCTTATAGACAGGGGAAATAGAAGCAGAGAAATGATCCAACTTGCCCTGGGTAACCCGGCAGGTTAGTGGCAGAGCCAGGAAAAGAACCAAGACAAGTCTCATCTACTTGGTAGTGCAGTGTACTGCTCTGCAGTAACATACAGGTGTGACAGAACAGAAAAAAATATATTTTTAGCATGTTACAACATGAAGCCATGATAAAGCAGTATACAATACTTAGTATATAACTTGGCCAAATGTGATTTGACCTACAGAACACCAGCAGTTACAGATATATATAAAGCAAGTACAGTTATCATATCAGACTCCCTGTAAAGGGAGTGTTTGGGCCTCATTTAGACTAACCAGGAAATTCCATGTCAGTGTTTTATGACTTAGACTTTAGTCATGTTTCCAATCAAGCTAAACAACTAGCTTACCCTACTGGTTGTATTAAGTATTGATGCCTCCCAAAAGAGTATGTTTTAAGGATCCAATTGCCAAGCAGAGGCAAACGTTGAATCCTTCCTACTTAATTTACTTTTGGGTCTAAGTAATGCTACACAAGTAGCAGGCATCATCTACCACTTAAAAGGTCTTTTTCCATCACATTCTATTCTTAATGGTTTTGCATTTCAACTTTATTTAAGCATTTTCCAAGATGGAAAGTTAAACTTAGTGCATTTTTTGTAGTTTAATTGCAGATAAACACTCAGTTAATGTAATGTACAAAATCAAAACGTTGACAGCTTGCCTCTGGCCCCTAGCTGGCATAGAAGGGGAAGTTTTTTAATGTTTCCATTACTTCCTCTAAAAGAGAAATCATAGAATCAAAGAATATGAGAGTTGGAAGGGACCTCTGGAGGTCATCTAGTATCCAACCTCTTGCTCAAAGCAGGATAATCTAGTTGGGGATCCCCAACTGGATTGTCCCAGCCACAGCTGTCTAGTCAGGTCTTATAAACCTCCAAGGACGAAGACTCCACAACCTGTCTGGGTAACTTGTTCCAGTGCTTCGCTACTCACCTAGTGAGAAAGTTTTCCTAATATCCAACCTCAACTTCCCTTGCTGCAACTGGAGACCATTGCTCCTTTTTCTGTCACCACTGAGAACAGTCTAGCTCCATCCTCTTTGGAACCACCCTTCAAGTAGTTAAAGGCTGCTATTAAATGACTTGTTTTGTTCTGTTCATCTGTACCAGGAAGCCTCTCACAGGCTTTCAAAAGACTATTTTAATCAATATCCTATTTAATAAGTAGGTAATCCTATAGATGGATGTAGCAAACTCATTTGGACAGCTGTGTCACAGTGAGGACGATATGTAATTCTTATTTCCTCATGATAGCTTAGGTCTGTTTACATCTGGTAAACACCCACCAATTTGAGATTGGAGGCTATATATTTCCAAGAGGAACGTCAATGAAAGGTCATTACTGCAACTGGTCCAATGTTAAACAGGTAAAACAATGAGACTCCCCATTTATTTTTATCAGGTTTTTAGCACAAGAATAGAAGACATTGAGATCAAGTGGTGCATACCTTGGGGGAACATTCTTCTACTTACGCAAGGACCATTAGCACACACAAACCTGAAACCTGCAAATGTGTGCATTTTATAAGTTTAGTAAGCACTGCAAGGCAAGATTCCAATTTTTTTTTAAATTGGTTAGACTATTTTTTTTTTTAATTGCCTCAGTAAAACGCAGTTTTTACTCACCTCATTATTGCTTTTGTCTCATACTGATTAGCCATAATTTTTTTT